TTAGTACCGTCCGTACGTAACTAACTAGTACTTTCTTCGTCTAGTGTCGTACGTAACTACTACGTATACTACTAACTATAGCGCTTCTTCTTCTTCTTCTTCTTCTTCTTCTCTCTCTCTCTCTCTCTCTCTCTCTCTCTCTCTCTCTATGTGGGTGTGTTTGTTCAATTCAAAGGAAGCTAGTTGATCATATTCCTCATTCAAAACAGCCATTGGAAAGCATCAAGCTGTGATTTCTGAAGAAACAGTTGCTGAAATGGAGTCTCAACAAGAGGGTACCAGTGAAACACCAAGGATCAAGGTATCGGGGTCCAGAAAAGAACATAAGCGGTCATTGTCTGCCGCAGATGGGAACAACACAAGTAAGAGCCAGTCTCTCAAATTTTTTAAGCTGATAGGCACTATAAATTGCTTATAATGTAAATCTCACTGTATCCAAATTCTGAAATTTTTGTTCAGTCATCTTTTTTCTTGGTGGGTTGGAAGTTTAGCAGAGATTGGACCTGTGTATTGAATGATACAAAAACAGTAAAAAAATATATCAAACAACAGGGAACAAGTTTCTAATGTTCCTAATTATTAGAAAGGGCCAAGTTTATTTGTTCTCTTGAGAGCTTTGATTGTATAAATGGTTGATACTATTACCATATTGATCTCGAGTTATTTGTACAGGAGAAATGGCAATTAGGAGATTGAGCAGCAAAACGGATGGGCTTAGTCGTAATGCTGATTCAGCTCTAGAAGCAGCTACAGGAGTGGCTCCAAAAAGAGGGATGGTTCTTCCATTTCCACCTCTTGCCATGTCGTTTGATGAAGTCAACTATTATGTCGACATGCCTCCTGTACGTAAAAGCTTCTCTAGATTTTTCTTAATAACCTCTCTTTTTCTCTCTCTTCTCACTCACTCAAAAAATGGTGGGGTTTCTTTTTTAAATTTTTGAATTGGTTTAATCACAGGAAATGAAGGATCAGGGTGTAACAGAAGATAGATTGCAACTACTGAGAGGAGTAACAGGAGCGTTTAGGCCTGGAGTTCTTACTGCCCTTATGGGAGTTAGTGGAGCTGGTAAAACAACTCTAATGGATGTGCTTGCTGGTAGGAAAACAGGGGGATACATTGAAGGGGATATCAAAATCTCTGGTTACCCCAAGAACCAGGAGACCTTTGCGAGAATTTCGGGTTATTGTGAACAAACTGATATCCACTCTCCCCAGGTCACTGTTAGAGAATCATTGATCTACTCTGCATTCCTTCGCTTACCCAGTGAAATTAGCAAGGAAGATAAAATGGTGAGCTTCATTAACATGAGCATAACCATACTCTCTCTCTCCAAAATTCAAGTGTTCTAGATTGTCTCCTATTCAATTCTTATAGAATCACTTTATCATCTCTTTGTATAGTATAATGGTATTGAATTTCTTTGTTTCGATTTGATTCTTATAAAATCATTTTTATCATTATATTCAGATCTTTGTGGATGAAGTTATGGAATTAGTAGAGCTCGATAATCTCAGGGATGCTATAGTGGGGCTTCCTGGTGTGTCTGGTTTATCAACAGAGCAGAGGAAGCGCTTAACTATTGCTGTTGAGCTTGTGGCAAATCCTTCAATCATTTTCATGGATGAGCCCACTTCAGGACTTGATGCAAGAGCGGCGGCTATCGTAATGAGGACGGTTCGGAACACAGTAGATACTGGGCGTACAGTTGTTTGTACAATTCATCAACCCAGCATTGACATCTTTGAAGCATTTGATGAGGTGAGAAAGACTTGGTTGCTCAAAATTCGCAGAACGTTTACTATTATTGCTTTTCATTTTCTACTGTCTTTGTGAAAGAGTGTATACTATAGAGAGAGGTAGACAGAGAGAATCTATATAGGACAGAGATGTAGACTCCATATTACCAGTTCGTAGGGAAACTACATCACCAGCTAAATTTTACTCTCCCTCTCTGGCATGCTTTCACTTTTTTCATGTTGAAAATGTTAAAACTTTACTGACAATTTTTTCTTTTTTTTCTCTTTTTGAAACCAGCTTCTACTGATGAAGAGAGGTGGCCAAGTAATCTATTCAGGGCCTCTGGGCAGTAACTCCCACAAAATCATTGAATATTTTGAGGTATACTTCTTTCCTAATTTGCTATAGGTTATCATTGTAAATTTTAATATTTGATAATTGTTTTATTGTTGTCAATATTGTTGTTATAACTATTCTAACTAAAATTTGACTGCTTTTGCAGGCCATTCCAGGTGTTCCAAAAATCCATGACAAATACAACCCTGCGACATGGATGCTTGAAGTGAGCTCCATTGCTGCTGAAGTTCGTTTGAATATGGACTTTGCTGAGTACTACAGGGAATCGTCTTTGCACCAGTAAGTGCATAAAAAGCACCAAATTCTTCATACAAGAAAAGTATAAATTTTTGTGATAGTTCGGTAGATTACCAGAATGGTTTCCATACTCTCTGTCTACTAATAAGAATCGGGTTTGTGTTTTAACAGGCGCAATAAGGTACTGGTTAAGGGGTTAAGCACTCCCCCTCCAGGATCAAAGGACCTGTATTTCCCTACAAAGTACTCTCAACCACTGGCGGGGCAATTCAAGTCTTGCCTTTGGAAACAATGGATCACTTACTGGAGAAGCCCTGATTATAACCTTGTGCGCTATTGCTTTACCCTTGTTTGTGCTCTACTTCTTGGAACCATCTTCTGGAAAATTGGCGAACAAAGGTACCACCACTCACTCACACGCTCTCTCTCTCTCTCTCAGCCACATTTTGCCTGGAACCCAGGAAATTTTTTATTTTTTATTGGCCATGTTTAACGTGAAATCTGAGTGGATAAAGTAGCTTATCTTTGTTGCATGTGGAAATGAACTCCATTTGGAAATAATTAAAGTTTAGCTGGTGAATTCGTTTCTTTTTCTCTAATGTTTTTTAAAGCAAGTTGACCGTTTTGAATAGAAAGGACCCCTCTACTCCTTTTTTTCCATGTTACGAAACGCCATTGGAAATTTTCCCTTGAGATCATGGCTAATATCCCACTGTATTTCTTGTACTTTCAGAGAGAGCTCGGTGGATCTGAATGTGATTATTGGCGCAATGTATGCGGCTGTGCTCTTTGTGGGTGTCAACAATTGTTCCACTGTGCAACCGCTTGTGGCCATAGAAAGAACCGTATTTTATAGAGAGAGAGCTGCCGGAATGTACTCTGCCTTGCCATATGCCATATCTCAGGTACCTGTTTCCTACCAGTTTTGTTTTGTACATATGAGAGAGAGAGAGGGAGAGTTCAAATGGGTTATAATATTTGTGGGCCTAGGGAGACTATAGAAGTTGAATTGAGACCTGAGCTATACGGTGTGTGTGTGTGAGAGAGAGAGACAATGGGGGAGGGGGGTTTATATGAAGTCCTAGTAGAGAGATTGGGTTTCTAGAGACATATACTTCTAGGACTAGTTGTAAGAGATTGTCATCTAGAGGAAGTAGTTTATAGCTAGGTTTCGAAGTTTTACGGATAGTCATCTAGATAAAGTAGTTTATAGCTAGGTTCGAAGTTGTTCTGATTTTTATCATTCTACTTTTTGGTATCAGTTTTCTGTTTGTTTGGTCAGAATTTCTCACGTTCGTTGTTATGATGAATGCAGGTGATCACTGAAATACCATATGTGTTATTCCAGACTACATTTTATACTTTGATAGTGTATTCTATGGTGAGCTTTCACTGGACGGCAGTCAAGTTCTTCTGGTTCTACTTCATTACCTTCTTCTCCTTCCTCTACTTCACTTACTATGGTATGATGACCGTCTCTATCACCCCCAACCATCAAGTTGCTGCCATCTTTGCCGCTGCCTTCTACTCTCTCTTCAACCTCTTCTCAGGATTCTTCATCCCCAAAAAGGTAAAAGATCTCTCTCTCTCTCTGTCTCTCTCTCTCTTTCTTGTTGCTCTAATGAGAATTTTTTTAGTGTGGTTTACATCTCGTGATAAGTAATCTTTCTGCAGAAGGTTTTTGATTTGTACTTTTCTTCTTTGTTTGTTTGGAAAGATTCTGAAATATAATCACATAAAGCAAGCTTTGGCATTTAACCAGTATTCGACATGACACATAATTACCGCATATGGGCACCATTCATATGCTAAATGGCAAACTTTTATTAGTTATTTTCGTATTCTTCTTGATGAATTTCCTCATTGGAAGGATTCAGGATAAAAAGTAACACCTTCTCATGGAGCTGAGATCTTTTTTTTCCTATTCTCCCAATTCTCAAAGATACAAGCTTTTTTGATGACCAAATAACCTTCTCCTCTCTCTGTTACTCACTCTCTCTCTCTCTCTATATATATATATTTGTGAATGCAGAGGATCCCAAAGTGGTGGATATGGTACTATTGGATCTGCCCTCTTGCCTGGACCGTCTATGGTCTCATCATCTCTCAATATGGGGACTTGGAGGACGACATCATTGTGCCTGGTGGAGGTAAGCAAAAAATCAAGGACTTTGTCGTCAGTTACTATGGCTATGACACTGGATTCATGGGTCCAGTTGCTGGAGTTCTTGTTGGATTCGCCACGTTTTTCGCCTTTGTCTATGCCTGGTGCATCAAATCCTTGAACTTCCAACAAAGATGAGAATAGATATTACAGGAGTTACCAAAAATAAAAGAAGGCGATAATTTTGGCGATAATTGTGTACATATATGGGTTTGTTAAGATAGGGACATGAATTGAAGACGATTCATGGCATCTAATGGTTGTTAGAAATGTTTAGAGATCTTTTCTCCTTCTTCTTAGGTATTGGTTTATTTATTTAATTTTTAAGCTTTTTGAGTAAAGATCTCTTGCCAATGGTGGGAAAATGTATATGTAAATGTCTCTTGTACTTGTATTTCTATGCAGAAGCATCAATGAGTTGAATTTTCAGATTAAGTTGTTGGTTCTTAGCATAAGAAAACTTTAGAAATGGTCAGTACATCTCGCCCTAGAGAATGTCCACAGCATGTTTAAGCTGCACATCGTTCTAACACGGTAATCGCCTATAAAAATGCTTTAAGAAAAGCACACAATAAGAATATTTACCTTCAGTGCAAGTGGTCACAATCACACTTCGTTAATTGGGTGGCTGGTTGTATAACATTCAAAAAAGAATTTCTTTAACTTTTACACACCCAGAGTTGTTGGATTTTACTTCTAAATACTAACAATAGTTGTAACCTATCTTATACCAAGTTGTTGTATTTCCTTTTGAATGCTATGGATAATTGTGACCTTTCTTATCCCAAATGTGAATGGTCTAATTGTATATGATCCTATGCTTTAATAAGTTTTGAATCTTCTATGGACTTCAATGTGCCAATTAACAATTCCACCTAAGTTGGTATAGAAACCATGTGAACTAGAACAATTTTCATAAAGCAGTAAAAGGAAAATGGGGATTCAATCTGAAAACGTTCTGCTATTGGACATTAAGTGGATTTGCAACTAGGGTAATGCCTGTCAAATCCAATGTCCTTGGACTTATTGCGTATAGGTTTTAAGAGGATATCTATTTGGGAAATATTAGGTAATTAACTTATTTAATTGGACATGTGGAAGATGGGATTTCTTTCTGTGGGTGGGAGAATAACCCTAATCAAATCCCAAGCTTTTCAATCTACTGGTGTTCTTCATAACACTTGAGAATGCCTGGCTTTGTTACGAAAATCCTAGAGTCTGATTAAAAAGGTTTTCATGTGGTGGATCTGGGGATAAAAAAAAAGTATCATCTTGTAAGTTGGGAGAAGGTTTACACACCCAAAAAGTTGGGCAGCCAGGGATTCGGAGCTTGGAAAACACGTATTTGGCCGTGGATCTGCGCAATAGAATCCAAATAGTGTTAGTGGTGGTTTGTACATGACCATATAATCCAAATCGCAACAAACTCATCATAACGACTTCGGTTTGATCCAAAAAATTTCAGGCTTATTGAGGGCTGACTTAGGAACCCCCAGTTTGAATTTCTTACCATTTCGGTGCAAATAAAAGGGTCAACCAAGGTTGATCGTGGTCTCTTGTCTGAATAAGCTGCTAGAGTGTAGCAAACTTTGAAAGGTTTTGCTATTTAACTTCAATTGAGCTGAAATTTGGGAATCCACCAAGTGGGTTAACCGAATTTCACTGTGGTTCACCATCTGATAAGCAGCCACACTGCAGTGGAAACTCAGGTTTGATGACTTTTCACTTAAATTTGATGAAGATCAAGTCCAAAGTTGTTAAGAAGCGCATCTCTAATAAGGATGGACCTTTTTTTATGAGTTTCAAACTAATTGGACGTCTAAAATCGATGAGGAATGAAAACTAAGGATATTCCAAGAAATCCTAAAATCTTTGGGATTACTTCCAAGATCTAAAATATTTAGAGTTGAAGATCATCAGGACATAGTGTGCCGGGATTCGGCAGGGAACTCTCCCCCTGGCCAATGCGAGTTACTTAGCCGAACTTGGGTGCACAGGGCCAAAAGGCCCTAGAAGTAATTTAAAAAATTAAGAAAATTTGGAAAAATAAAAAACATTAATTAAAAGTAAATTCAAACCTACACTAACTTTTAAAGTTAAAATAAGCTTAAAAAAGTAGGAAAAAATGGATTTAAAAAGAGCCACTTTACAGTTTGGGACATTTTCAAAAAATCCAAAAAATAAAATGAAATAGTGATTATGGCAAAAAAAACTCACCAGTCTTTCCAAATACATCCATAAGAAAAATTTGTATAACATATCGTAATTTCTTACACTTAATTTTTTTGAAAATTTTAAATGCTCGAATTGTACACACAACTTGAAACTCGGGGGTACAGATGAGGTCAAGTAAGTCCGAGTTGATTTGGTGGAGTCCCGGCACATTGTCAAGAAACATGAGAAGATGATCTCATGAAGATGTATGAAGATCTTGAGAAGATAAATTCAAGATTCATCTCGAAAATTCTCGGTACTCTGCTGTATGCAGCTGAGATTGTGGTGAAGATTTGAAGTCCATGTATCTTATAATTTCCAGTTTTATTTTTTATGAAAATTGCATGGTATTTCCTTTCTAGAGGCCCAACTGATATCTTGAAGTATCATTATTAAAGCAAGACACCTATTGGATATGGTGATTGGGTAGCTCTAATATGTGCAGAAGGGGAGTGCATGCATAATAAAGTTCCATGTGCAAAACCTTGATTCTAGGGTTTTATACTTACTTTTGATGTACTAAAATAACCTTAAATTTTCCCTTTACGTACTAAAATAACCTTAAATTTTCCCCTTACAGACTAGAATACTCTTCAATTTTTAACTCACATGAAGCGGACTAGGTAGCGGACCTCAAGTAGTTGAGATAAAGATTAGGTAGCCGACCTCAAGTTGTTAGGATAAAACTCATATGGTGATAATACTAACAGGACTAGATAACATTAATATTTGTGAAATAATTTAATGCAGGACGCTTGTGTACATGATAGTTTGATATCAAAGCAAAGCCATGAAATATAAGGAAAAGTTTCGAAACGTATTGGATGGTTTGTAGCAAGGGATTGTATACAATGAGATCATTTACCTTTTGTACAAGAAGTTCACAATTATTTATAACCATCCGTTGTGAAATCTGATAGCTTGAATGTGTCATAAAGTTCGAGAGAATTTCTTTTGAACTTTGAACTTGATCAATGAAATAAATGCAGCCAACCAATTTTACATCCAGTGGTCAAGATCAATCGTGACCACTTTGTGCAAAAGGTTAATGGTCTCATACGGACAAGATCAATTGTGACCACTTTCCCTAGTAACAATTTGGGACCCAACCCCCGCTTAAGTTGAGTAACTTAATATGAGTCCTAGTGGACTATCTTGACTCATGTAAAGCCTAGAAAAGGAAAACAAAAAAATTAAAATGAAATTTTTTGTTAAAACAGAAAAAATTTAGTAAAAAGGTGAACAAAACATTAGCATCATTAAAAGCCAAATGGAAAAATTATAAAAACGGTATTTAGAAAAAATTGATTTATAGCTACAAACAATTAAAAAAAATCCATAAAAAGGAAAAATAGCGCATATGATAAAAAACACACACACATAATGGCCAAACACATCAAAATTTCATAGACAAATTTACAAAAAAAATCCTACTTTATTTTTGGAGTTAAAAAATAGTCCCATATGGTTGGTAATTTACACTAATTCCCATTTTTTAAAAGTAAATAGTGTGTTTTAACTTTATCATTTTTTAATTCATCAAATCAAACTTAATTTTGGTATGTTTATACTTCTCATCATCACACACTTAATTTAACTAATAATTTAAAATAATCAAAATACCCCTTAAATATTATAGGGGTATTTTGATTATTATTATTTACAAATTATTTTAGATATTTTTATATATGTGTGACAGTGAGAAATATAGACACGAAATTTGAGCTTAATCCAATATAATAAATAAATAAATAAGATAAAATTAAAATACACTTTATGCTATCAAAATGTAGGATTTAGTGTAGAACATGAAATATATAACTCTTTTTAAATTTCGAAAATAACACGTGAGCTTTCTAAATATGTTTATACACTGATTTAGTGAAAACTATTGATTTATATAACTTTTTAATAATTTCTTTTATGCATCTAAGTCAATTCGGCTGAGTTTTAAAACCTTGTTTTGTAATGGTAGCAAATATGGTATTTGATCAATTGGAATCGACGAGTGAACGAAGACGCCACACACAAAGGAGTGATTAAAAAGAAGGTACTCAGTTAAAAAAATTTACCCAAAAAAAAAACCCAATTTTTCATAATCCTCTGTCTAATACAAGTAGCTTTTGAGGAATCAAGACCATGAAAAAGGTTTATATAAGGTTCCAACATTCAATATAGAAGTAAGATGCACCTCAAATAAAATACTTGCTTTGGATGATTTATTTGATTTTAAACTTGGTATAATATTATAGAGTAATGATACTATGAGACCCTCTCACACCCATGTGAGTAGGACCCCAAAGGATCATCATTAAATTTTGACAGTGATCTCTAGAAAAAGAGCATAATTTTAGAATTTTCCAATAAATGAATTGAAAATTTAAAAGAAAAAAACAAGAACGATTTTGAGTTTCCAAACACTCAAATTTGGTTGATAAATCGATTGTATGTTACTTGGGACAAGATTTTCTTCAAGGAATTTTAGGGTATGCTTTTACTTTTTTTAGATTGATTGAGGATAAATCTACAATTATGTCCCTAAAAACTTGGAATTTGAATTTTCAGAGAAAGAAACTATCTCAAAAATTTTAGAGAGATTATCTTGAATTTCAATTTTTACAAAGAGAAACTATCTCAAAATTTTCCAAGAGGGAAACCATTTAAAAATTTTTAAAGAGAAAATTATTTCAAAATTTCAAGTTTTTAGAGTGAGAAATTTTCTCAAAATTTTTAGAGAGAATCTATCTCAAATTTTTAGAGAAAAAATCATGTGTTTATACATGCGAAGTATTTTCGTCGAAGATAAATCTATTTTATTCCTTCGACGGTGGTTACAAAAATAAATAGTAATTAGATTAATTGTATAATTTAAAGACTATAAAAGGGAACATGCCTAGTAAGAATGGTCCTTGGGTTAACATTGGAGTTCGAAAATGAGTATATACTGCACCTCTAAATTTTATCACAAATGTAATTTTGATGTGCACCTTTAAATTTTATCACAAATGTAATTTAGAGGTGCACCTCTAAATTTTATCACAAACGTAATTTTGATGTAAAATGCTTTTAATATAGCTTGAGAATCTATTTTCATCTCTAAATATAAACTTTTAAACTCTAAAATTGGTTCAAATCAAGTAGATATAAAAACACATGAAAATCTTGAAAATTGACTGCATGTGTTGCAAGATATACTATTTCGCGACTTCAAAGTCTTTTTT